AAACTATATTATGGAATAAAGTTAGTTATTAACAGTACTTCAATAATTATGAGACTTACCGCTCTGCTATCTTTCTTTTAAAAAGCATTTGCAGGGGCCTGGAATTTGGCTCAGTGGTTTCGCCGCCTGCTGCGCAAGCGCAAGGACCTGAGTTTCATCCCCGGTACCAAAAAAAAAGGAGCATTTGCAACTAAAGGACCTTTTAGCAACTTTATTTTATAAGAATCCTACAAATATGTTTTCTTCTACATCTCCACTTCTTTTAAAACAAATAGAAACAAAAACGAAAGCTTATGTGGATACAGGTTTGGAGTAGACTGCAGTAAGCTTGTTTAGAGAACTCAGGTCCCCCAGAAGGAGCTCTGCACTGGGTCTCTGTGCAGCCGGGGCCCTCCAGCTGCATTCGATGATGCTCTCCAGCTTTTGCCCTAGGACAGAGTCAGTGAAGACAGCTGCTGCCAGGGATGGACGGAGATTGTGAGCCACCACCGCATAGAGCACGTACTGCCGCTCCCCAGAGTAGGGCGCTTCCCTGGTGGTCATTTGCCAGAGAGTGATAGCGAAAGAATAGATGTCAGCTTTGGTCGTTATGGGCTCTCCTTTCAGGAGCTCCGGGGCCTGATGGGTGTATGTGCCTCCTAGGTGGTAAGGAGGAGTCTGGAAGCATCGCAGATCTTCTAGCTTCTCAGAGCAACCAAAGTCACCAATTTTACAGATGTCCTGCTCACTGATCAAAATGTTTGCCGGCTTCAGGTCCAAGTGCACAATGCTTTGTGAGTGAAGAAAAAGCAGGCCGTTTACAATATCTAGGGAATACTTTATACACTTCCCCAAACTTAACTGCTTTCCTTCACAGTGGTGAGGCTCTCTTGGCTTCTCCTCAAGGTAGCTGTTGGCACCATAGATGACTTGGTGTAAAGTGATGTTGCCTCCAAACTCCATGATTATGGTACCCAGACTATCGGAGCCTGCAGGCGTTCGTGTGCTGGCAGCCACAACCCTCACTATGTTGTTGTGATGCAGCCTGGCAATGTTGAGCTCAGCCCAGAAACTCCGCTGGGATGCTCGTAGGTTCTTGGTGCGCTTGTTCACTTGCTTTATGGCCACAGGAACACCGTGGTAAGTTGCCTTGTACACTGAGCCAAATCCTCCAGTTCCCAACCTGTGTAGCAAGCACACCTGTTCCCAGTCAATGGAGCACCAGGCCAGCCGGCGTGGCAGCCGAGGGGCCCGAGGAGGAGTGGCCCCCAGAAAGAGCTTCCCTGCCTTCCCTGGGAGTTCAGAGGGGCTGCTGCATGGCCGAGAGTCCACTGACGGGGACAGCTCCCTAGGGAGGTAGCGGCACAGGGCCAGTGGTGAAGGCATCACACTCCCCAAGGGTCAGACACCAGACAGGGACACTCTGGGCAGTAAAAAGACCAGCAAAAGCCTCGAGGGTTTGGAAGCATGGCAGATTACCCCTTCCTCACTGTAGCCCTTTTCTCTTCTTCCTCGTTTTCTTCAAATGAGCTACATCTGTGCTGTCACTCAGCCAGGGTTATCAGAAGGGGGAAAATCTGAAAGAGCCAGATAATCCCTTTCAGATGAAGAATTTCACACATTTAAACTACCTCTCACTACTTAAACAACACTGACCTGTCCCAAGATTCATCCTTTTACACTATTTCTTTAATCATAATAAAATGGTTTTTTTCAAGTCTCATCCCAAACATTATCAGGCCTGAAGAGACTACAAAGTACAATGAAATTGTTGCACACATTGTAGGCTATAATGCTTGTTAATGTTATTCTCCAGCTGCATGAAACCAGTTCAGCAGTTATTGGCTGCAAGAGTTGAAATACAATCAGCAGATATTTGTTGAACCATTTACTTAGATAATTAGGTGCAAGCTTCATATGAATTAACAATTGAAACCTTAAAGTAATCGATCCAAATAGAATCACTGACTCAGGTCAAAACACACACCACAGAAGTTCATCAGGGGAAAGGAGAATTCTGACTCTCTATTCTGTTTATACAGCAAATTTATAAGACCTTTTAGCAATATATTGATTTCCTGGAAATGCTTCCTTCCAGTGGACTCACTTGCAAGAGAGATTCAAGACAAATGAGTTTCAGAAGTTTTGAAGTGCAGTTGGGGGAGAAAAAAAAAGAACCAAAACAATTGAAGTGATAATCAGGGCTTCAAATAATAACAAATATGGGGGAATTGTAAAAGAGAAAAATTCTGAAAAAATAAAAATGGAACAAAATTACACACACACATATTAGAAAACAAAATGTTGAAATTAAAGGATCTGGTCATTGAACCATACATTCTTCCTAATATTTATAATAAAAATTAATTTTGTACCATATCTTTAGATAAAAGGTCAACAATATTACCCTATTAAAAAACAATTGTTAAAATCTACGTTTTTAATCAAATGCACATGGATGATACCACATTTTTAAAATTAAATTCTTTTATTGGTACATTATAGGTATACAACACAATTACATTTCTCATTGGGAATTGTACCTTGACATAATGTATCTTGGTTCTTATTTTTTCCCCATTCCTAGCCCTCCCTTCACCTCCTCCACCCTTCCCTATTTACAAAGACTTTATTTCCATTTTTTCCATTTCTCAGCATTTTTCCTTTCCCTTATTTCCTTTCCCCTGCCCCTCCCACTACCTCTACCCCTTTGGACCTTTTCTTCCTATTTTACATTATCAATTATTCATTCTAATCATTGGTACATTTTAGGTATACAATATAATGACATTCATCATTGGAAATTTGCACCTTTACATAGTCTCTCTTGGTTCTTATTTTTCACCCTTGCCCAGCCCTCCCTTCAACCCCTCCATTCCTCCCTATTTACAAAGATTTTGTTCCTATTTTTCCATTTTCTCATATTAATCCCATTCCCTTCTTTCCTTTCGCCAACCCCTCCCTTCCCCTTCCCCTTCCCGTTGCCCCTTTTCTTCCTATTTCACATTACCTATTATTCATTTTAGTCCTTATTTACACGTTCAGTTTCTCACGCCAGAGAAACTATTTGGTATTTATTCATGTGTGTCCTATTTATTTCACTTAAGAGTATGGCCTCAATGTGCATCCACTTAGGTATAAATGTCTCTAATTTCTCATTTTTTATGGCTGAGTACCCCATTTTATAAAAAAATCACATTTTCTTTATCCAGTCTCCAGTTGATGGGCATTTGGGCTGTTTCCAAGTTTTAGCTATTACAAGCTGTGCTGCTATGAAGACATTTCTCAGACAAAGAAGTAGAAATAGCAAATAAATACATGAAAAAATGTTCAACATCACTGGTCATTCGAGAGATGCAAATGAAAACAATGCTGAGATTCCACTTCACTCCAGAAAGAATGGCTGCTATCATGAAATCAACCAATAACAAATGCTGGCGGGGCTGTGGGGAAAGAGGAACCCTGCTCCACTGCTGGTGGGAGTGTAGACTGGTGCAAGCACTGTGGAAATCAGTATGGAGATACCTCAAAGAACTAGGACTGGAAGTCCCATTTGACCCCACTATTCCACTGCTGGAGATCTTCCCGAAAGAATTAAAAGAATCATACCACAGTGATATATGTGCACCCATGTTCATAGCAGCACAGTTTGTGATACCACATTTTTATAGTAATTTATAACAATTATATGCTCTGAAGTGTATTGGGCCTGAGAAAGTAAGTTAATAATCATGAGCCATTTGCATAATCAATTTTAAGTTTCTGTAATCCTAGAAGATATCTATTCTATGCTCTGTGGCTTAGTATGTCATGATGTATATTCAACCTATTTGAGCCTCAATCTTTCCATATAAGAAAATAGGATAATAATTATTATTATGAAAATGAACTCTTTTCAAAATAAAAGTTGTGGAATTTTGTCCAGATTAACAACAACAAATGTAAAAAAAAATTGAAAAGGAAACCATAGCTGAGTGTGTTGACATATACCTATACTCTTTGCTACTTGAGAGGCTGAGGCAGGAGGATGGATTCAGTCCACAAGTTCAAGACCAACCTGAGCAAAACAGTAAGACCTTGTTTGTCTCAAAGGGAAAAGCAAGTAACCTGTGTAATATTTCAGTAGAAATACAGTTCTGTACAATTGTATCAAGCCTGCATCATAAAAGGATGCTAATGAGTAGAGAAAATTTCAAAAAGTAAAAAAAATTGTTATAAATCTGTACTGCAAAATTGACCTTTTTATTGATATTTGATATTTTCTTTGTAACAAATAAATTCCTATTGTTATTGCTTAAGTTTAAATTTTAATCCTGATTTCGTCACCACAAATATATCCACTATATCATACTTAGTTCTCAGAAATAAAAAACCCTGAGCAAAGCGGTAAAGAGCATGGCCTGGGCTCCTCACCTTCCTACTGCCTCAGTTTTCTCTTATGCAAAATGAGGTAAACGGGCCCGCTTCAGGATTGTTGGAGGATTAACAGAAGTTCAAATTCTATTCAGATAACAATTTACAGGGGATAACACCTAAATGCTAATTATTATTTATGACATTCATAAAAAATCAATGTGTATGACTTTACACCAGTAAGAAATACAAACTTGTTATGTAAAACGCTGGTGTAAAAGTATCTTACAGAGCTGAAGTAATTCATTTCATTGTAAGTTAAAAGTCTGAGTATTTCTCTGGTCTTACATTTTAAAGTAAAAGACATAAAAGCTTGTTGTATTACTAGTATGTACCCAAAACGTGGAGTTTCGGTCAAATGTAGTAAGCCGTTGTGATTCCCCAAAGGCTAAGAGCAAGAAATCTGTTGGTAGCAAGGCAGGCATTAGCTGGAATTGTGAAGGAGGCAAACAAGAGAAAGTAAGGGATCCTGGGAACATCCCAACAAGCTTTTTAGCTTGAAGACGTCACATTTCTGCTCTTTAGTAACATGTTTCAGTATCAAGCAATTAACAGAGTACGTATCACGACAGATTGCAAAATTAATAGTTCATTTAATTGTATTCTAGTTAAAGAGCCCGAGAAACACAGAGTGTGAGTCCCGTCTGGTAGCGCAGAGCGGAGGTAGAGGAGGTGATTCCTCCCTCCTTGATCACCGGGTCCAGACTCGAGAATCGAGCATCGAGCATCGAGCATCGAGCACCGCTCTTCAGGCACCGGACGAGGTCGCGGTGCTCTCGGGTCTCCGCCCCCCCCCCCCAGCGTTCCACCGCCCACCAGCTCGTCGGCCCCGGGGCTGGGGGCAGGAAGCACGCGGACAGGGCCGTCATTCCCCCAACAGACCGCCGAGGGTGCGCTCAGCTCCCCCTCTGGGAGTTACACAGTAACTTTTCTTTTCAGTTCGGAGTCACCACGTAACCTTTCGGAAGACATTGAAAAGGCCGTGCAACTCTACAATCCAGCCTCGCAGAGAGGACCGCGCCGCTGGAAGGGCGACGGACGGCCACGTTGGCGCCTGGGCGCTGGGAAGCGGCAGGCGTGGAGGCTGCTTCAGCGATCTCGGGTTGCAGCCCAAAGTCAGAACCGGGAAAAGTGAAAGAGTGAGGGTGTTGCAATCGTTGATGTGTTGTATTCACAAACACGAATTAAGGTGAAAAATTCACTTCTGCCTTTTTTAGAACCAAAAAAGTGAAAATGTAGATGAATAATACGTTTTAATAATAATTCCAATGCAAAGATTATAGTCAGTCTTGAACATGTCATTGATTTTGTTTGATCAAGTGGCATCATGCTATTGATATTCTGAAATTTGAATTTTATACCTAGCAATTCAACATAGACTTGTTTCCATGCCAGCAAAGTCCATACAGAGCTACTTAGTTTTTCTAATGTCAGGCGCGGATTCCGTGGGACCGTGGGTCGTGTGAAGCTTTTCCCTGGGTGTGACCTCTGCACACTGCCGGGCTCTGTCTCTTTGTATAGCTCGATCGCTACCATCTGGGCTGACCGCCTGGATTTTGTATTTAAATATATTTTCTACTTCTCTAAAATATCTTGTAGCTTGACAGGATTTTAAGACGTGCAAATATCTTTCAAACTGGTTTCAGAAATCTTTGAGTTTAATGATATCTTACAATTTTCTCATATTCTTGACCATAAAATGTTCATGGGTATTTGAGTGTATCTAATTGAAATTTGGCTGTCCTAAACGATTTATGTTCACAATTTATAGGATCATTCTGTTAGCATCCTCCTTTAAGCCAGGAAGTGCTCTCTAATTGTGTATTTAATATTTACTAAATTCTCCATTTTTCACTGATAGTAAATGAGTCAAAAATAGCATGTTTGATTACAGGATTCAAAAGTAATACGACCCATTCAGTTGTCAGTTTTACTAAACTTTTTGCAAAATTTTCTCCTTGGCACCATTGTAGACTCATGGCTTTTTATAGATTCCATCAACTACAATAATTATTGTGTTTTATTGCTCAAACTAACCCACTTTGGCCAGTGGGGGGACTCTGTTGTGTTCTTTTGATGCAGTCCAATTTAATCTCAATTATTTCTTGTCTCTTGTACAGCAGATTGCCACAGACTCCTAATGGCTTTTGGAAATGGCCATTTCTCCAGGGTATCCTGGAAGGATGGCAGTAGAAATCATGATGTCAGCATTAAGTTCACATATTAAGTTCACATTTCCTTAAGATCCCTTTTAAAGTTCATTTTAGCAACAGATTTGGAAAACGTACTTTCTTCTTTCTTTTAAAAAGCATGAGTTCCTATTAATGTTTCTAATTCAGTTCAAACATTATGGTTCCCAATTACCACGTTTTGATTTTATTGCTTCTCTCTCCTTTCTCTTAGACATAAAGTCTTGATTCAAATAAAATAAATGTAATTACTTATTTGTTATCTGATAAACTTATTAAATAAAGTTTAGGGGCTTTGTTGCTATTTTTATCCTTATAGTAACCTAAAAATGTGTAGTCAAATTATTTACTTGCAGTCTTAATTCCTCATTCTGTAAGGTTTTTGTATTACACATTTTGTATGGTTTATTTCTTTTCAGTTCTGGGAGACTGTCAGTGTACCTAGCTGGAAGTTTTCACAGAGGACAGTGGTTTTCAGACAAGAGATTTAAAAAAAACCATAATAATAGAAGTATGGAATGTCTACTATCCCTTCTGGGATTATCAGGGCAAATTGTAGTGGAGCCTCCCATGCTTGGTTTGAGCTGCATGTGCGGACCAACAGGCCTCAAGTTATTAATGACATCTGGTCACATAACTGGACACTATCTGGGTGCAAGAACTAGGTCTTACGGGATTATATTCAGTTGTGGAAAGGACAAATCTGTCTTATGTGTTTTATATGTTTTTTGGCTTATTAGTCTGGCTATTAATCTGTATGTATGACAACTCTATATGGATTCATAAATAAATGAATCTGAAGCCAGATAAAAAGGGGGTGGAGGAGAAAGGGGAAAAAAAGGAATTGAGATATTATATACATGTATTAATTCCCTACAATGAATACAATCATTATGTACTAATAAAAATTAAAAATAAAAGTAAAAAACAAAAGCCCAAAAGGATTTGTTTCCATTTCCTGTCCAAGTACATTAGTACTCAAAACTCATCACTGCAAGAACTAAACACCTGGGCCAGGGATTTAGCTCAGTGGTTCCGGCACCTGCCTTGGTTTGAATACGCTTGCTCCTGAATTCCATGCTTTACTTTGTCTGGTTAATTTTCTTATTTTGGTTGTCTTGGTTACTTTTCTCATTGGTGGAGCAAAATACCCAACACTCAAAGTTGAAGGAGGAAAGGTTTGTTTAGTTCACAGTTTGTAGTGGCTTCAATTCATAGTTGGCTGGCTCCAAGGCAAGGTGGTATGACAGAGGGGTATTGCAGAAGAAAAATAGTTCATGAAGGTTAGAAGGTAGCAAGGCAAGAAGAAACAATCCACAAGCCTCTTTCTGTCACTTTTATCTTATCCAGGCTACCCGCCATAGGGTAACACTTATACCTTTAACCCTAGTGGCCTTAATCCTAGAATTGCACCATGAATCAATCCGAGTGTCACACAACTCTAGATTCAGCCACCTCTGAAAAGCCCCACCTATGAGTGCACGAGGTTTGGAGGGGACATCTAGATACGAGCAATAACACTGGTGAAATATATCTTTCAACAATTTACTGAAAAAGGATGCCTGGAAGATAATTTGTTTTAGTCTCTACACATCTAATAATGTAGTTTACTCTAAGATTTGATTGAGAATTTGACTGCTCCATTTTCTCTACTGGAACTAATTTCCCCTTACAATTTTAAGAACATTGTTGGAAATCTAGTGCTTTCTTCCTGGTACTCTGCACATAACTATTTGTTTTTCTTTGAGGGAGTTTTTAAGATATTTTCTGAATTAAATATCTATTGCTGCGTAATAAATTACTCCAAACTTAATGGAGTTTATGTCTCACATTTATCATCTCATAGTTTGCATGTAAGCATACCTAGGTGTAGTTAGTGGGCCATCTGCCTCAATAGCTCACAACACTGCAATCAAGGTTTGGCCAGGACTGCAGTATGGCTTCTTATAATTAATTTATTAATTATTAATTTCTTAATAATTAATTTTCTTCTACTTTCATAGACATCTCAGAAACTATCAGAGAGAGAATAAAGAAGCAGTCTTTAAACTGCTGAGAGAGAGAAAAGTAAGTATGAATTGTTATTTATTTATTTATTTTTGGTACCAGGGATTGAACTCTGTTCCTTGTGCTTGCGAGGCAGGCTGTGGAACCATTGAAGTAAATCTCCGGCGCCTGAATTGTTATTATCTAGCTAAAGTATTATTAAAAAATGAAGATGAAATAGATGTTTTCAGACAAATGAAAGCTGAGAGAATTTGTTGCCTGCAGACCTGCACTGTCAAAAATGTTAAGGGAGTTCCATCCCACAAAAATGAAAATGATGCCAGATGGATTTATACAAAGGAATAAAAATATTGGGAGTGGTGAACATGTAGCTAAAGTAAAAGATTTTTCTTAATTTAAAATTTTTCTTATGCTGAGGTGGTGCATGTGCCTGTAATCTTACTTGGCACTTGGGAGGCTAAGGGAGAAAGATCACAAGCCTGGGCTACACAGTGAGACTCTGTCTCAAAACAAAACAAAACAAAACAAAATCTTTAAAAAACAACTGAGTGTTTAATATAGTGGTAGGAGTAATGCATTTTTGGGTTTACAACAGATGTAGAGAGCCTGATAACAATGGTACAAAGTGGAGAAAAAGGAAGTGGAAGTTGTTCTTGAAAGTTCATATTATAAATGAAGTGCCATAATACATGAAGGTAGAGAATATGGTAAGACAAGAATGTATATTGAAACCTTTGTAGAACGACTAAAACAATAAGATAAAGAGATGTAACTAATAGATCAATAGCTGATATTTTTAAAAATTCTAAAATTTAAACCCAAAAGAAGGCAAGGGAAAAAAGTAACAAAACATCTATATGACAGAAGCCAAATGATATATTTAACCCCAAATCTATCAGTAATTAAAATCTAGTGCCACTTTGCACAAAATCATACCACTTCCCACTAGGGACAATCTATAGTGATTGGACGTTAAATATACAGGATTCACCATATTTTACCTGCCCATTAGTCATATACTAGCCTCTTGATCATCAGAATGACTGTCATAGTATCACAGTGCTTGTGTTCAAGTCAACCTTGTTTACTTCTTTTTTTTTAAGTTAATTTTATTGGTACATTTTAGGTATACAATATAATGACCTTCATCACTGGAAATTTGCACCTTTACATAGTCTCTCTTGGTTCTTATTTTTCACCCTTGCCCAGCCCTCCCTTCAACCCCTCCATCCGTCCCTATCTACAAAGACTTTGTTTCCATTTTTCCATTTTCTCATATTAACCCTTTCCCTTCTATCCTTTCCCCTAGCCCTCCCACTTCCTTCCCCTTTGCCCCTTTTCTTCTTTTTTCCCTTTCCTTTTTTTCCTTTTAGTCCTTATTTACACTTTCAGTTTCTCACACTAGAGAAACTATTTAGTACTTACACATGTGTGTCCTATTTATTTCACTTAAGAGTATCGGCTCAATGTGCATCCATTTAGCTATAAATGTCTCTAATTTCTCATTTTTTGTGGCTGAGTAGTACTTTATTTTATTTAAAAAAACACATTTTCTTTATCTAGTCTCCAGTTGATGGGCAGTTAGGTTGTTTCCAAATTTTAGCTATTACAAATTGTGCTGCTATGAACATGGGTGCGCATATATCACTGTGGTATGATTCTTTTAATTCTTTGGAGAAGATACCCAGCAGGGGAATAGCTGGGTCAGATGGGATTTCCAGTCCTAGTTCTTTGAGATATCTCCGTACTGATTTCCACAGTGGTTGCACCAGTCGACACTCCCACTAGGAGTGGAACAATGTTCCTCTTTCCCCACAGCCCCGCCAGCATTTGTTATTGGTTGATTTCATGATAGCAGCCATTCTTTCTGGGGTGAGGTGGAATCTCAGCATTGTTTTCATTTGCATCTCTCGAATGACCAGTGATGTTGAACATCTTTTCATAAGGTTATTTGATCTTTCCACTTCTTTGAGAAATGTCAGTTATTTCAGATGTCCATTTTTGGATTGGGTCTTTAAATTTGGATTGGGTCTTTAAATTTGAGATGTCCATTTTTATGTGGTACCAGGGATTGAACTCGGGACCTTGTGCTTGCAAGGCAGGTGCCGGAACTACTGAGCTAAATCCCTGGCTCGGGATGTCCATTATTGGATTGGGTCTTTAAATTTGGGAGGTCTTTATAGATTCTAGATAGTAGACCTTTGTCTGAGGAACAGCAGGTGAAATTTTTTTCCCACATTGTGGGTTGTCTGTTCACACTGTTGGAGGCTTCTTTTACTGTGTGGAAGCTTTTTAATAAGAAGAGGTCCCACTTGTTGATTGTGCTAGTTCACATGCAGCTGAGGTTTTGTTCATGAAATCTTTTCCTACACCAATATCTTCAAGAGTTCTACCTAACCTCTGTTCCTGCAGGGGCAGCGTTTCTGTTTTAATATTTAGATCTTTAATCCATTTCAATTTTAGTTTAGTTCATGGTAAGAGATATAGATCTAGTTTTAATCTTTGGCAAGTTGAAACCTGATTTTTCCAGCACCATTTATTAAAGAGGCTATCTTTCCTCCAGTGAGGGTATTTGGCTCCCTTGTCGAGGATGAGGTGGCTGAGTGTATCTGGCATTGTTTCTGCATGTTGTAATCTGTTCCACTGGTCCTCAGGTCTGTTTCTTTGCCAGTACCGTGCTGTTTTTATCATAGAAGCTTTGTAGTATAGTTTCAGGTTGGGGATTGTGATGTCCCCTATCTTGTCTTTGTTGCCTAGAATTGCTTTTGCTATTCTGGGTTTCTTCTTGTTCCAAATGAATTTTTGAATTGTTTTCTCTAGTTCTGTGAAGTATATTGTTGGAATTTCAATCGGTATTGCATTAAATCTATATAGTAGTTTTGGAAGTAAGGCCATTTTCCCTATATTGATTCTTCCTACCCAGGGACAAGGGGTGTCTTTTCATTTTGTAATATCCTCTTTGATCTCTTTTTTCAGAGTGCTATAGTTTTCAGAGTAGTGGTCTTTGATTTCTTTCCTTAGGTTGATTCCTAGGTATTTCAGTTTTTGTTTTTTTGGGATTTTTTTTTGCATGCTCTTGTAAAAGGAGTTTTTTCTCCAGTTTCTCTTTCAGTGAGTCTGTTGTTCGTGTAGAGGAAAGCTATTGATTTTTGTGTGTGGATCTTGAATCCAGCTGCTCTACTGAATTTGGTTATTAAGTCTAGAAGACTTTTGGTGGAGTTCTTTGGGTCTTCTATATAGAGTATCATGTCATCTGCCAATAATGACAATTTGAATTCTTCATTTCCTATCTTTATTCCTTTTATTTCTTTCTATTGTCTAATTGCTGCATAAACTTTTAATGGAGTTTTTAATCTCCTGGAAATCTGTATGTGTTTTATGAATTCCATTTGTTTCCTATGTTGGAATTCTGTCATGTTCCTCAGGTCCTCTATTTTTTAATCTATGTCCCCTCTAGATTTATTAATCATATCTTGCACTATGGGCACAATCTCTGCTGTTATCTGAGAAATTATTTTTGATTTCATTTTTTCCATATCCTCTTTGTTGCCAGTTCAGGGAGTCCAGGTGTTTGAGTATCAGATTTTTCCATCTCTTTTCCCTTTGGGGTTGCTGTAGGTGATCTGGAAGTCTGGTTTTGAGACTTGTTTACATGTCTTCTCATTTCAACAGGGGTCGGGGTGGGGGGTGTCCTGCTGGTGCCCCTGTGGCTCACTTTGGTGCTGGGGGTGCCTCTGCTCCTTGGTGCTGGGGTAGTGGTATGGTGGCCCAGAAGGCTCCTCAACCTTGTTTATTTCTAATGGCACTAAACCACAAAAGTGGTTGGTGCGAGCTCAGATATGCTAAAGAGAAGCTGTAAAGTGCTTCGTTTTAGTGAAAAGGTGATTTATTGACTTACTAGGGAAAGAAAAAAATCGTATGCTGAGGTTACCAAGATCCATGGTAGGAAACCTCTAACCATGGAAGCATTAAGAAGGAGAAAGAAATGTGTTCTAATTTTGTTATTGCAGCTCTGATTGTAGAAATTACAGCCACAGTGTGTGATAACTTGCTAGTCTTTTACTTTCTTGCATTTCATCACATAAACTGTATATTGTCCTATGTCACCATCAAGAACAGAAGGCTGAATGCATAAAATATTTTGAAAGGGAGAGACCACATTCACGTAGCATTCATTACACTATATTGGTATAATTATTCAATTTTATTGTTATTGTTCACGTCTTACTGTGACTAATTTATAAATTATTATATAGGTATGCAAGTAGAGGGAATATATATCTATGTATATAGAGAGGGAATATACATATATTCTATATATATTTTTTGTGTTTTCAGGCATTCCCTGGGGCCTTGAAATTATCCTGCACAGATAAGGGGGAAATATGATATCAAAAATTTTTGCATGTAATTTAGAGTAAAAGATACAGCTTTAGTGCATTAGGAAAAAAAGAAGAGTCTAAAGTTAAGTCAACTAAATTTTCATCTTAGCAAACTAGAAGTATAAGTAAATAATAAAGAGAAGTTTGGATGGGGTACAGGAAAGCAATGCTGGAGGTATCAGGATACCTGGTTTCAAAATATACTATAGTGACATATTAAAAAAAAGCCCCAGCATATGACATTAGAAATGGACATGTAGATCAACTGAATAGAAGAGAGAATCCAGAAATATTACCGCACATCTACAGCCATTTGATTCTTGGAAAATGATACCAAAAACGCACACTGGAGAAAAGACAACCTCTTCAACAAATGATGCTGGGAAAATTGGATATCCACATGTAGAAGATTGAAACTAGAAACTTACCTCTCACCCTGTAAAAAATGACGTAAAAATGGATTAAATACTGTAGTGTAAGATGTAAAACATTAAAACTACTTGAGGAAAACATAGGAAAAACACTTCAATATATTGGGATAGGCAAAGATTTCCTAGAAAGGATTCCAGTAGGTGAAGACATTAAAGCAAAAATTAATAAATAAGATTTCAACAGATTAAAAAGCTTCTGCACAGCAAAGGAAATAATCAACATAGTGAAATAAAACTTACACGGTAG